ATAAAAATAGTGGAAAAACTAGTAGATAGAATAATTGAAAACGTAGCTAAAAAGATTCCATTTATTGGAATTAGTTCAGGTATTGGATTTGCAATATGGAGAATCTTAGAAAATCCCGCATTTTTCTCCACGTATGTCAAGGCAGGTTTTGAAATATTATCTGGCATTGCTTCAACTATTCCGGGTATTGGTACAACCTTTTCAATCACTACTGACATTGTTCTTGCAGCATCTGATATAAAAGATGCAATAGAAATTAACAATTTCCATTTAACTACTAACACAAGTATTTTAAACAAATAATTTTTTTCGATTGAATGTTTACGACTGGAAGTTGACTACAAAACTCGCATCATTTAATAATTGCCTGAGTTTAAAATATATTTATGGTGATGGTATGAATAACAAGCGATATATTTCTCGTTTAGAATAGATGGATGCAAATGTCTGGTGGGTGTGCTCTTTTCAGTCTCACTCACGGCCTGAGAATTAGGTAACGACAGACGAAGAATCGATATAACTCTTGTTTTTTGTACTATTCGACAAGAGTCTAGAGAACGTTAGAACTGAAGAGAACATATGCTTGAGCGAGTGAACGACATTTGAGATGTCGGCAATCGCGCGTTTTAATACATCAATGATAAATATTTTGATCCTGAAAAATGTCAGCAGTACACATATATCATGTAAAACACTATTTGAAATATAGATACCTCTCAAACACTCGTCGAATGTTCTATAGATAGTACGATGCCGCTTCTTCTCATTATATGAATGGACGGCATCTACTACTGCAAATTCTTCTTTGATCAATCTGCTTGGTGAAAGAAGTTGCCAAGTGGTACCAAAGCAGGCTGATGACAGATACGAAAAAGTTGAAATTTTCCCCGAAATTGTTTCTCGTCTGATCATTGGTAATATTTCAGATGTATTGCATGTTCAAGTTTGTTTACAATCTTTTTGCTGTTATTCATATCTCGTTCGAAAGCGTTCCTTGAGAAGAAGAAGCGAAGAAATATAATATATTTCTTTAAAAGAATACTTACGAACTTTCGTGCATATTCTTCACATTTTGTCATCATATTTAGATATTGAAGATCCCTTGCCATATGTAAATATTCTTTGGCCTGTCTTTTTACTTTGTTGTGTAGATCTCGTATTCGTTGTAATGTTAATAATTCATTGCGCCCATATCGGACAAAACTTTGAAAATGTGGATTATAGATCGACTAATTGTTTTTCATTCACTCGATATCTAATATAGTATATTATTCTTCTTTTCTATCTATTAGTCATCACTTTAGTTAGTTACTTATTCTTCGTAACTAGCATCATTTAGAGATAAGAAATAGTTTATCGAATTCGTCAGAATATGATGAATGCACATATAAAAATTGTTTTTTAAAAATCAAGTCTATGTGAGAATGACAGTAAGATCAAAAATAATAATTAACAGCTCAAAGTTTTCCTATTGGAAACACAATAAGTAATTATCATGGGAGTGTGAATATGAATATGCTGTATGGTTAATTCATACCGACGCCCATCCTCAAGATTATACACCGTTTGAATTTCTTCATTATAGAAACAAAAAATTCGCGTGACATTTGAGTTTTTTTAATGAACTTCAATGTCCCGAAACATTTGCTATCACTAACAGCACATAATTATACGCCATTCTGCTAATTTTTAGTTTTAGTTCCCCCATAGTTTTCTGTCAACAGCAGTTTGCATATTGAAAGTAAAATGAGAATCTTTCAAGACATATTCTATTTTAAATAAAACACAGAAAACTAAATATTACAACGCCATTTAAGTGACATTGACTGGATCCGCAGGTCGGAATCCGTTAAGCGAGATTCCGGTTGGAAATATATGGAACCGACCGAATCTGATATACCCATTTCGATCTGGAAAGATCGATATTCGAATAGATTATTATTTTCTAAGGTAAAGTACCTAGAGGAGATTTACGCGTTGGTGTTTTACTTTCTAATTGTCTGTGAAGAGCATCTCTAGTGATATGTGGTACTATTCGGTTGTTGACATAATGTCTATAACAAAAATGTTTGCCAAATATTGATTGTGTTTTAAAAATATTGAAATAAACTTCTGAACGATAAATAAAAAGTAAAAATGTAATTGATTGAGGTATATAAAGAATTAAATTAGCTGATGTATTTAATCGTAAGAGCCATTTTAAAGAAATATCCACACAGGAAAATTTTAATGATAAAATCAATTGAGGTAATGTACATAACTAATAGGAGAGAAAGAAAGAAAAATCTAGATGTATGAAGAAAAATAAATTAAAACTTACCATTGCAATTAATGGTGCCAGAAAAAGATGATAATGCGTTTGAAATTGTTTTATCCATTGGTTATAATAGGTTGTTTGATGAAGAATAGCTCTTCGATGACTAATTGATGCTATTATTAAACATGTCGAGATAATATGTAAAGAAAATGGAATAAATAAATGAAGAAAAGTAAATATTTGATTTAATATTAATAAATCTGATGAATATTTTATTTGACATACAAATTTTCCTGGTGCAACAGGATCTGATAATGTAACACGACAAATTAATTCATGAATATGCATTAAAATAACAATTACAATTATAAATACAATCTGTTTTATTGCATTAGATTTCGTACAAATTCGATGTAAATAATGATTTAATTCAAATGATTGAAGTGATCGATGAAAAGCAATTAAACCATTTAACCATAAACATATACGAGTAAATATTGATGCTAAACCAGATATTAAATTACAAATAATAAAAAATGGTATATAACTAAGAGAATCAATTAACTGAAATAAACGACATTCAAGCATTAATATTCCAAATAATGATGCACAACTATAAATTAATAAATATATTCCAACT